GTTTATGTGGGATTGGTAATTGGAAAATAAAATAAATAAATAATAAATTAAAAAATTTTATATTTTTAAACGGGTAAACGGATCAAACCCGTTAACCCGATGGGTCAACCCGTTATTGACCCGTGACCCGTTGGGTTCTTTTAACGGGTTATTAACGGGTCACGGGTCATAAATATATGACCCTAACCCGTTTTAAACGGGCGGGTAATGGGCGAGTTAACGGGTTGGGTAAAAAATTGCCAGGTCTAGTTGCCAATCTTGTGTTGGTGAAAAAAGTAAATGGCAAATGGCGGATGTGCATCGATTATACTAATCTCAACCAGGCATGTCCAAAAGACTGTTACCCAATGCCAAACATTGACAAGCTAGTTGAGGCAGCTTCTGGAAACAAGAGATTAAGTCTCTTGGATGCATACTCTAGCTACCACCAAGTCCCGATGCCTCCTAAAGACGAAGAAAAAACCTCGTTCTATGCCGGAGATGAAATCTACTGCTACGTGATGATGCCCTTCGGCTTAAAGAACGCAAGTGCCATTTACTAGAAGATGGTTACCATTGTATTCCGAGCTCAAATAGGCCGGAATCTGGAAGTTTATGTTGATGATATCGTGGTGAAGAGTTTGAAAGCTGAAGACCATTTAACTGACCTCGAGGAGACATTCAACAATCTCAGAAAGAACAAAATGAAGTTGAACCCAGCAAAATGCATCTTCGGTGTGGAGTTTGAAAAATTTCTAGGCTTCATGGTGTCCAGAAGGGGGATTGAGGTTAACCCCGAGAAGATCAAAGCAGTGACTGAAATGGAACCACCGAAGTCAATAAAAGACGTACAGAGGCTAACAAGGAGAGTAGCAGCTTTTCATAGATTCATCTCGAAATCAGCAGAAAAATGCCTACCGTTCTTCAAGATCATGAGATTGGCAGCCCAGAAGGATGAATCTGGCAAACAAAAGAAATTTGAATGGAATTCAGAATGCCAAGCTGCATTTGACGAGCTGAAGTCTTATCTTAGCTCACCCCCTTTGCTGACAAAGGATAATGATGGAAAAACCCTTTACTTGTACCTCGGTATATCAGATGAAGCTATTAGTTCCATGCTAGTAAGAGAAGAAGGGGAGCAACAAAAGCCAGTCTATTATACTAGTAGTGTATTACATGGAGCTGAAATCAGATATTCTATTACCGAGAAAGCAGCCTTAGCAGTTGTCACCTCGGCTAGAAAGCTGAGACCATACTTCCAATCACATCCAATCATAGTCCTCACGGACCAACCCCTCAGACAAATTTTACAAAAGCCAGAATGATCAGGAGGATTGATCAAATAGGCAATTGAACTGGGAGAATTTGAGATAACATTTCAGCAAAGGTCAACAATCCGAGCTTAGGCTCTTGCAGATTTCATAGTAAAATGCAACTCGGCTCACTCTGATTCCCAGCCCGAGCTCGACAACTGGATTCTGTGTGTTGATGGAGCATCTAGTAACAAAGGTTCTGGCGCTTGTGCAATCCTACTCGGCCCAAATGAGTATCGAAGTGAACATGCTCTGAAATTTAATTTTGATGCCACCAATAATATGGCTGAGTATGAGGCTCTGCTACTTGGCTTACAATTAGTAATAGAGCTGAAGGTTACAGCAATACAAATATACAGTGATTCACAATTACTAGTCAATCAGGTCAACTCAGTCTGTGAAGTGGTTGATCTTGTTATGATGAAGTATGTAACTCTGGTGGCCGAGCTAAAATCCAAATTCCAAAAATTTCATTTGAGCAAAATACCCTGAGCTGAAAATGAACAAGCAGGTTCCCTCTCCAAATTTGCCTCTGATGGCAACCAAAGCTCCAAATCGGTCTTTGTTGAAATTTTGGACGAGCCCAGCTTCCTAAAGCCGAAAATGATGGAAATCAGCACAGATCCTAGCACACCGAGCTGGAAAAATCCAATTATCTCATTTTTACGAGATGGAACGGTGGCTACAGATAAACAAGAAGAAATGAGGTTGAGGAAGAAAGCATCTTGGTATACCCTTGTTAATGAAGTCCTCTACAAGAGGTCTTTCTCACTCATTCTACTTCACTGCTTGAACCCTTATGAGGCTGAATACGCACTTCGGGAGGTGCATAAAGGTGTCTGCGAAAGTCACATTGGTGCTCGAACTTTGGCTCATAAAGTCCTTAAACAAGGATATTATTGGCCCAACATGTATAAAGATGCCACTAAGTTCGTATAGAGGTGTCAGAAATATCAGTTCTTCGCACATCTAATTCACCAGCCAGCAGAAGAGCTCACTAATCTGATAACACCTTGGCCATTTGCTCAATGGGGACTTGATCTTTTAGGTCCATTTATGAAGGGGGTAGGAGGTGTAACCCATTTGATTGTTGGTGTGGATTGTTTTATGAAATGGGTTGAAGCTCGGCCATTATCCAGTCTTACCTCCAAGAAGGTCGAAGACTTTGTTTTAAGCTCAATCATCTGCAGATATGGAATCCCGAATCAGATTGTGGCTGAGAATGGAAGTCAGTTCAACTACTCCTCATTTAGAGATTTTTGCTCCAGTTATGGGATCAAATTACAGTTCACATTGGTGTACCACCCGGAGTCTAATGGGATGGTAGAATATGTCAATAAAGTTATACTCGAGGGGATAAAGCCAAGGTTAGAGCTGCATAAGGCCAGGTGGGCAGATGAGCTCAACAACATCCTCTGGGCATACAGAACGACGAGCCGAACTGCCACAGGTATTACTTCAAACCTGGTTTACTTGATTAACGTTTATATTACTTTACTTCTTCTTCTACGGCTTTACCTTAGATCAAATATGCATAACGCGTAAAGCACATTCTAAAATTATAATTAACTGAAATAGGTGAAACACCCTATCACCTGCCCTTTGGTACTGAAGCAGTCATTCCTATCGAGATAGGAGTCCCAAGCTTCAGGGTCACCCGTTTCGATGAAGGACGAAATGGACAACTACTTCGTGAGAACCTTGATCTGCTTGACGAAGTCAGAGAAGAAGCACGACTTCGAACTTTAGTTTACAAGCAGAAAATAGCCAACTTCTACAACAAACGAGTTCGACCTTGAACATTCAAAGTAGGAGACCTTGTTCTCAAGAAAGCTGGTCTAACGGGGTTCGAAACTCGATTCGGTAAGTTAGCACCAAACTAGGAAGGCCCCTACACTGTAGCCGAAGTACCGCACCCAGGTTCTTATATCCTACGGGACATTGAAAGCAAAAGGGTTCCTAGAATCTGGAATGTCAATAATTTGAAGAAGCTCTATCCTTAATACACTTCTTTCAAGTGAATTTTGTCTTATTCTTATAATCGTCATTACTCTCTATCTTTCTACTCAATCTAATGTATATACGAGCTCAATTCATTTATCTCATTAATGAGTTTCACTTCACATTCGAAGTGATTCAATTCTTTCTACTCTTCTGTTCATTGGAAGTGAATTTCACTTATACCTGAAGTTAATTCATTGTGACTTATTTAGTCACTTCACTTTCTGGGTTACGATTCTATTAATCAATTACACTTTACTTTTGGAGTAATTTACTTCATCTTTTTTTATTTGTATATTTGAGGTCTACCTCATGTATATCCGAAGTCAATTCCCTAATTGTCCATTTTACTGTGTGTCCGACATCAATTCCTTGTATTAATTAAAGTCACTTTATTTTATCCAAAGTGATTTACTTGAAACAAAACAGCAACCAAACATCAAAATATACACACCAAAACTAACTTCAAAAATTTTATAAATCAATAAAAAATTAATTACAAAATTGTTGTTCATTACAAACACAACTAAAATAATAATAATAATAATAATAATAAATCCTAAGCTATTCTGTTGAAAAAGGAGGCTGCTCCTCAGCAGCAAGAGGTGGTTGAGGTGGCTCATCTCCAGTGGGCAAAGGTGGCACTTCTACTTCAAGAGGAGCTAACTGCACTTTATTTGAGGAAATTGGATGAACTTCAGGAGGTTGGACTTCGGCCGGCTCTGCTTGGTTCTCAACTCCAGCATCTCACACTTCTTCCTCTTCCTCCACCGCCACAAGCTTAGCATCAAAGGCTGGAGGAAAGATAGCGCGTCCCTTTGCATCACGCTCCCACCTCAGCTTAATCAGAGGTTGAAAGTTAGCAAAAAGACTCTCACTGTCCTCTTCCACCCTTTCTTCTTGATCGCCGAAGGTGACCGTCGTTACGTCCACTTCGGAATACTCGCTTTCACCTTTTTTCTACAGTCGATGAACGCCAAGATTGCAGTCGGCAGTCGGTAGAGGTTGATGATGCTCTCAAAGGTGCTAGAGTTGAGGAAGTTGCTAATATGTTCCTCCATCCCGTTATGAACCAACAGATTCACGTTCTTCTTTAGCTCTGCCACTCCTTTGTTCATGTTCTCGATATATTTGTCTTGAGCCTTAAGCTTGTCTTCGCAGATCTTCCTCTTACGCTCTTCGAAGATAAGTCTTGTGCTCAAGGTATCTCTATCATTCTGGAGCTCGGTTACTGTTGGCACAACCTCATCCAGTTTCCTCTGCATCTCTTTGTTCTTCCTCTACAGCTCCTCCTCCTTTTACAACTCCTCACACTGCTTTTGCAAGCTGGCACAGTCTCTCACGCTCTTCGCATACTCTTGCGCTAGAGCGTTTACCCAGCTTGCACTCTACAATGCAAGCAGAAGTCAGAACTCAAAAAAAAAAAAAAATGAATAAATTGTAACTTCTTTACATACCTCCAAGGCGTGCCTCACAACGCGAGCCCCCAATTGGCTCACCGCCTCTTCCCTCGCCTGCCTCCTATCCACCTTCGGAAGAGTTGCGGTGAGAAACCGCTTCGCCTCAGTGATGTTCGTTGCCTTGAACAACTCTTCTGGAACGAAGGAGGAGGGATGAGTTCTTTGCCTTTACTAGGGCCTCGCACCTCGGCCTCCTCCCTCTCCCTGACTTCAGGATCAACCTTAACAGGAGAAGGCCGAGGTACGAACTCAACCACCTCATCCCCCCTAGCTTATGGCCCTACCACTTTCCTTTTCTTCCTCTGAAGTGGCACCACCTCCTCACTCACTTCTTCACTGCTTCTCCTTAAAGGCTCTGGCCTTTGCTACACTTCCGAAGCTTGAGCAGAAGTGCTGGATAGGTGTTCCCTCTCTGCTGCCCCCTTATCTACCACATTTGAAGTCTTTGACTTCTTCCTTGGCTTCTTTGAGATAGCTAGCCCCCCAACAGCGTTCAAAAAACTCTCCATCTCAACTGCAAAACAACACAAGTGTTAAAACACACTAACTAAAACCTCAAATAAGTTGTACAAAACAAAAATAAACAAACCTTCGCTCAATGAGCTTGGCCCATAGACCTCGGCAGCCTCTATCGCCTTCGAGCTGGTGAGGTACATGATATCCACTAAGTCCCCTTCCTCCCTCACCAGCTTCCCTGCCTCTTCCACCTCATCCTCATTTAACTTATAATCGTTCTGCTTGGTTTTCTTAGCTTTCCAATCAAACAAGTATTCCACTTCGGCATCCCTCCTGCTCCACTCGGTGTCATCCACAAAGAAGAACTTTTATTTCCATCCTTTAATGGATGACGGTTTAGCAATGAATAAACTCTTATTCTCTTTACTGGATGTCCGAGGTCCGAAGTAATACCACCCCTTTTCACTCTTACCCTCAGACTTTATTATGAAAAAATGTTTAAACACGCTTACAGTGAGGACCCCAACACCCCGAGTTTGGCAGTATACTATAAAGCCTATTATTATTCTTATAGCATTTGGGGTTAATTGGGTTATTCCTATACTATAATCTAACAATAAACCAACTAGTAACTCTAGAATGGGAAACCTAAGCCCTGCTGCCAAATAATGGACATACATGGGCATCCAGTGATCTCGGGGTGCTGAGCACGCTTTCTCATTCACCTCGGCAGGCCTAATTAACACATGGTGAGGAAGTTTACAGTTACCTACGAGGCCCCTAAGGCTACCCCTGCTACCCAATTCACTCTCATACTCCCTCACCTCAGACACTATGCCTAAGTCTGGGTCATAACACCTATCTACATTACCCTCAACCTCCATAATGTTCGAGGGAATTTCTTCTTCCTCCTCTTCCACTATCCCTCGCTCCCTTCTTTCCTCCACTGTCTTTTCTGAACTAGATGGAGACGAACTACTCTTTAAGTCCATACCACCATACTCTAGAGGCTTCACCTCACTTCCTACCACACTCATTGTTCCTTCTGAAGACATCTCCTCAATTTCTGCATGAAGTAGGAGGAGGAATGAAGTCAGGACCTTTAAAAAACTCTAACGCACACTCAATATCATTCTCACTCCCAACCCTAACTTCCTTCAAAGGACTCAAAATCAAAAACAGAAAGGGAGAAAGGAGAGTGACACTTCGTTAAAATCAAAATAAGAGAATCATAAATATTACTTGATTTTGGTCTTGTGAAACTGGTGTTGAAGTTCCAAATGAAGCACAGAGGTAAACCGCGCGAAACCGTAGAAATTTAGTAGCAATTTGGTAGCGAAATAGTGAAAGTAAAACTCTTTTTTATAGAAGTATTGCCTTTTATACCAAAGAGAAAATACCCCTCAATGGTTGTGATTAATTCCATTTAACGGCTACAAAAACACCGTTTCAAATTCGACGGTTAACCCCAAACGGCACCGTTTCAAACTCAACGGTTTGTTTTTTAATTCCGCCTGTTTAATTGTTGCGGTTATATTTTTACAGCCGCATTTATTACGCACGTCCTTCAGAGGACAGTTGTCATATCACGTACTGACTCTTTATCAGGCTTCTCAGACGGGCCCACTTAAGCCCATTTCAATACTCCTGCCCAGTTTTACACATTCTTAATTTTTGCAAGTGTTTTACTTCGGCAACCGACCTGACGACTACGGTCACTACATTCATCTCGGCTACGGCCCACATGACTACGGTAATTGTATTTCACTTCGGCTACGGCCACAGTGACCCAATGTCACATGTTTTATTTCGGCTCCGGCCACTGACCTAGTGTCACATGCTTTACTTCGACTGCGGTCATAGTGACCGAGTGTCACACGTTTTACTTCGGCTCTGGCCACAGTGACCCAGTGTCACATGCTTTACTTTGGCTCCGACCATAGTGACCCAGTGTCACACGTTTTACTTTGGCTCCGACCCACAGTGACCTAGCGTCACACGTTTCACTTCGGCTCCGACCATAGTGACCCAATGCCATATGTTTCACCTCGGTTCTGGCCATAATGACCTAGTGTCACATACTTTAATAGTCTTATATAGCTACATAACATGCTTCTCACATCATCTGATCTTATATTATATTTATCACCTGTTATCATATACTTCCCTTACCACATCATTCACAAGTGAATGACTTCGAGGGGGAATAGTGTAAGGATAGGTCCGAGGTGCCCAACCTCGGACGTACGACAGTATTTCCTTTATAACCGAAGTGAAGGATAAATCCAACACTTCCCGCTCAAACAGCTGCATGACAGCGACAATAAGCATGCCCACACCTAATTCCTTATGACAAGCTGCACAGCAGTTATGATGGACATCCTCGTATCTGAATATCTTTCAATTTCCTGGTCCCGAAATAACCGTCGAGAGAGACACATCAGACTCCGATTATCTTGCTTGGCATGCCACGTGGGTTCCTCATTGAAGCCTATAAATACCCCCTAGGGGCCACGTCAAAAAGATAATTGAAACCAACCCTAAGCTGCTTTTATCTTCATTCTAAAGGTAGCCCCGATTATTACTGACGTAAGCATTGGAGTGTCTACCCCGAGTTCCATCTCAGGGCTTTGCAGGTCAATCCGGAGTGCAAACGCAAACTGAAGGACTTCTAGTTTGATGCAATTACAATTTAAATATGTTGTTAGGGAACAGTTAATATGATATGTTTGAATATGTTGTTAGGGAATAATTGTTGTTATTTATAATTAGATGAATAAAAACATTTGTTTGAATTATAAATAATAAAAACTATATGTAATTAGATAGGAGTAATTCCAAAGTACCCCAAGTACCGGCAGGTTTAGTTTTGAGGCATGAGGTAGGATTTTTTTTCTTCAATTTTTCAAGAGTTAAGAGTTAGCACGCTAAATAGGAATAGATTTAGTTTCAACGCACCAAGTTTATATGGGGCGTGCTTTTAGAATGAAATAGGTGCTTTTAGTTTTGAGATACTTATAAATTAATTGGAATGCACCCTATACTTCTGGAAAAAAAAATTATAACATTAAATAATAAAAATAATAAATTACATCAAAAGTTTGTAACACCTTTCATTTGCTTCTATGTTGCATTTAATAACTTCAATTTTTAAGGGATTACAAAAAGCTCCGGTTTTATCATCTATAAGAAAGTTATCAGAAGTAAGTCGAATAAGTTTGCAGTGCTTTCTTGTGCAAAGGAAAAGCAGGAGATGCCAAGGGTGCAAAAGTTGCATGGCATATATATATATATGTCAGCCGCCCAAGACACAATATAACGAGTCACGACCATTCACAACATTCGGAAGAACTCAGACTCACACCTGAAGAGATAAAATATTTTTTAAGTAACAATCTACAGGTTTTACAAAAGCCCAACAAGAGAGCATTGGATGATGTTCATGAATTGGTTCTAGAATCTCTAAATCAGAAGGTTGTATGGGCCTATAGGAGATGATTGGACGATGAGAGATTTTTGACTTCACCATTTAGGACGAGAAGTTAAACCCCCAGCAAACATACGATAGATTTGGATTAACTGTTCAACCATCTCCTCTTCCATTTATGCAACATCAAACAGGATGGCCATGTAGCAGTTGCTAGTAGCTAAAAAAGAAAATTTTCATTACATGAGTAACTTCTCATGACAAGCAATTGAAACCACACCCGTCCAAAAAACAAAAAGACTAAGCAAAGATGAGCAGGTAAGCAGAATGGTGAAATGTATTGTAGATACTAAAATGATGACAGAAAAAGGATTCTGTGTAAATTAGGGGCAAAAATTAGGAAGCAGAAGGGTGAAAAAATGTCCACAATCCTCAGAAAACAAGCTTATTTATCTGCCAATAAATTATATCTTCAAGATTTGCACATATATCTATTTAAGTGATTTAAATGAGAAAATGCGGTCTCAAAAAGTAATCAAATACAGAAATAACAAAAAGCAACCACTTGAAAAAATATACCATTTGAAGTCTACAAGGGCAAAAGCAATCAAGAAAATGAAAAAAGACTACAACTATCTTTTAAAGCAATGAATATTGAGCACACCACATTTATCAATTTTTCTTTCAATTCAAGGGAAAATGTAGATAACTATTTGATTGATACATTTCATTAGTTTCTAAGAACTTGAAAGCCTGTACTTGTTTCTCTTTGCTTCTTCATCTCAACTTTCCTTGTCCGATATTAAGCAATCCTAAGATCGGTGTTATGGAAACAAACCTAACACAGCCTAAAGTTCTTTTGACTTCTAATCTAACTTCTTTCCCTGACACTTCTCTGCAACAAAACTGGAAAAAAAATACCACATTGATTTTAAAAGCAAGTCTGAAACACAATATGTCATACAGCTTACCCACTTACCTTAAGCTACAATTATGGTCAGAAGCTATTTTCAGACAATTACATGGTAGCATAAGTCAAATTTCAGTGACTATATATATGATGGAGCACCTTTGCTTTTCTTTCTTATTTGCATGAAATTCCAGCAACCCTCTTTTCCCCAGACATGGCTAAGCAGTATATAAGACGATCACAGGGTAGGAAGGGCTTAATTTCACACAAGACCTAGTTTTTAGGCTTTTATGCAGGACTACTGATAGTAAGGAGGAAAAAGAAGAAACTAATCAATCCAATGTTCAATCTACAGACTATGATCCAATAAAAGATAATATTTTCGCATCAAGCAATCTTTTTTCTTTACAACTTTCAGTATTCTTTACAAAAGAAAGCCTTAGCAAAGCAAGTGCACTGCATGCTAATTGCAAACACTAAAGAATCTATTTAACATGTTCAAGCCATAAACCAGCAAACATTTACTTCAGGCTAATTTACTATCATTTTCATTCTCTAAATGAGTCCATGACTAAGGATCAGATTAATATCAGTCCACCCTATGCTGATCAACATCAAATCTTAAATTTACAAAGAGGATATCAATTATATATAAAGTTCTGAATTCTGATTATACCCAAACAAATGCCAGGCAAATAACAGTGCCAATCACAAACTCAGACAGGTAATTTTTAAAACTAAATTTCTCAAAAAGCCAATTTTAGAAATAAAAAATGTTCAAAATTCAAACGGAAATCTTAATCTAACAAACCAGAAAAAATGAAGCAAGAAATCAGAAGTCCCAAAATTCACAAACTAATATATATATTGTGGATAATGTAAAGTTAAGACATTTATGGAAACAAGAACGAAAAGGACCAGATTGTGCTTAAAAAGATAATTATGGAACTTGTTTATCCCATTTTGCATAATTACATATCAATTCAGGAATGCCCAAATTCTGAAAAAGAACCCACAATGACAACAAGATCAAATTCCCAGAAAAACTGTACCGCGTCACTCACAATTACAACCCAGAGATTTAATTCAAAGGGAATACAATCAAAAAAACAACCATTAACCTCATATGGGTGCATAAAATTTTTCAGAAAAAAATCAAGGGTCAATCGTCAATTACCAAGAGAAAAAAGCAATAAATCAAGATTGAAAAACTTACAAGCAAATTTCTATTGTAGAAAATTCGAAGACATGAACATCCATCCAATTATTGAAAGAAATATCAGAAACCTAGATCGGAGTCAAATTGAGGAAATGAATAACATTCCTTACTTGATTCAATTCTGTGGTTGGGAGGAAGCAAATTCGAGAGGCGGTAAAATGAATCGAAACGAGGGGGATATTATCAGAGAAGGGAAAGATCGGGGTGTTTGATATACTTTGATCAAGAAAAGCACCTATAATTATTCATCTCTTCCAAGTCTGAGTTTGGCTCTTTAATTACGAAATACACCCATGTTAGGAGGTGCCCTCGGTCCCTCGGTCCGTCGGTGTTTGTTTAGTGTCCTGTTTTGTTGATTCGTGTGGGTAGCAGTGGCTGGCTATCCTGTGCCGTCCGAGTGCGTAAGTAAAAGGGTCCTGCTATGTTTGTTCTGTGACCCAATGGGATAGGATGGGTATTTTGCTTGTACCAAATACTCCAGTACTCCTTCCATTGCATTTTATTTCTTAATTCTTAACACCAATTTGTAATAATAGATACATTTTTACAGCATATTATATATAATAATTTGAAAAAAAATTCCTAATATGTTGGAGTAATTTTTATTAAGTAATTTATTTTATAAAATAATTTTAAATTATCATTTATATATAATAAAAAAAATACCACCTAAAATATAAGTCTTAACAGATAAAATGAACCATAGATTGTAATGCATAAAGTGCAATTATTTGTGCCAAAGTAACATGTCTAACGATTATTGGGTTTTTTTGGTTTTTTTTTTTAGCACCATCACAAGGACAAATGTTATCATAACTCTAATATTGAATCAAATACTAAGGGTATGTTTGAATCTAACAAAATAGAGGTACTCATATTTTAATTTAATTATATGAAACTTTATTTATAAGCATCTAGAATAATATTTTCTTGAGTATTGGACATATTTTCCTAATAAGTTTATTTAGTCTGTTTACCAAATGATGCTTCTTGTTTGCTTATGGTCTCTTTGATTGTGTAGAAAAGAAGTTATATTTTGTGATGGTCTATGGAACATTTCTAGGTTGTTTGCATTGGTTCAAGCAAGGTCTTTTAGTTGGATTTGGTAGATGCGAGCTGATTAGCATTTGTTTTTTATTACTAGCTGGAGCCAGTCGTTCCCAAATTCATGTGCGGAGGAAATTGTGAGAACATGTTGATAGGCATAGTGATTAGATCGGTTTGAGGGGTCATATATAGTCTTGTTTGTTGGGAGGTTTTCTTTTGGATTGTGAACTGTTATGAGTTTGTAATAAGTGTGTCTGTGTTGGGTATCTCTTGTAACCCGTTTAATAAAAAATTCATTTTGCTGATAAAAAATTTTTGAAAGCAATCGGTCTTCCATCAATCAAGCTTAAGTCAGAAACTTACAAACCTCAGTTATTTATTTCATAACAGCAGCTAATGCCACAGACCACACCACAACATTTTCACAATATTAAAAAGACAACTACATATCCGGAAGAGTACGCTGTTTCCTTTTGTACGGAGCAGCTGGAACCATAAAACAGGGGTACTGGATAGAGACACTTAGTAGGGTGCTTAGTCGGAAGATTCCAACTCCACCCACGTAGCTAGGCCTAGTCCGACGATGGCGATCTCACTTCTGTAATGGGCTCCTGTAAGAAGGTCCTCCTCATAGAAAACAATCTGATCGTCCACCAAATCTCCAACGATAACAGGTTTGCGGGTAGCCTGAGTAGCGCGGCGGAACTTCCAGAGACTCCTAGCTGAGTTCTTCACCAAAATAACCAAATCACCCCTGCGCTGCGGAGGACCAAAATGGCTTCGCAGGGTGCGGGGGTAATTTATTCGGACTACCAATCCTCTCTTCACAACAAGAAGCCGACGGAAGCGCCTCAACTCGTATAAATTCCGAACACCGCCTTTTCTCAGTGGCTCATACAAGCTCAGCAGGATCGCAGAGCACATTATTATTCCCATCGCAATCGCAAAAGGGGGTTTCTGGACTCTCTGAGACTGAGCATAGCTACGGATGGAGCGTAGAATTTCAATTGACCTGTGGTGAAGAGGTGGCTCAGGAATGAAACTAAAACTCCAACCAAGAGTGTCCCGGCTACCCAGCTCACGATCACCCAGCTCAGAGGTCGGTAACTCGTCTCTACCTTGTAGAGAAGGCAGCTTGGTTGAAGGATTGATCCTCGTTGCCGGTCCCTGCGAACGTTCGAGTGGAGACGCCGACATTCCCTGTCTTAGCTTGAAAAAAAAAAAAATGGTCAGCTGACAATTTATGAAGAGTAGTACGTACATGGAGGACTTGGCTTCTTGCGATGCAAAAGAAGAAAGAAACCATAAGTTTTCAATAATTTCAACAAAAAGGGCAGACTTACAGATCCGTCCATCTGTGAAAAAATTCCAAGATCGGAAAACGGATCATATTTAGCCATCTCTTCCAACTT